TGTGTCATAGTATGCATACTCTCTGTCACATGACGGCTAACCTCAATACACATACATGTGGTAGTTGCTCAAGTAGCATTGATTCACTATGATGACTTTCAGTAGATGGTGGAGCCCATGGAGATGTCTCATGATACCTGAGTATAATGATGATGCCTGATCATCATTGAATAATAGAGTAAGAAGGACCTACGTTCGTTTAAGGAGATCCACTAGATCAATCTTAGTGGAGTTCCGTGATCCAGATAGATGATGTTGCCTTGGTGGAGGTGGTAAGGATATAAGGGTAAAACTAAGGACAATTAGTGCTACAACAACAACAGCCGCCGCAGCCGCCAAGTCGTACTGCTCCTACTCGTGGTAGTAGCATTACTACCTTTCAACTTGTTTAGTAACTTTGCCGTTAGGCATGGTATGGTGTACTGTCTTAATACCACGGAATATCCTATAGATGATGGAATCCTCTAGTACACCCGGTCCAGTGAGGCAACCCTCATCTACTGGCCATTCTCTACGCCATTTACACTCATCGTGGAGTTTATCCTGAATAAGGTACTACCAATGATGGATTCCTATGTAAAAGTATTACCAATACGGTATCCAATGCCTCTGCAGAATCATGTTGATTACCGAGACCACCAAAGTACTCGAATACAGGCTGCAGTGACTGCATTGTAACCAAGCTAGTGCAGGCTTGTGGGGAGGCTGTAGTAGATGATGTGACTGATGATGAGGAGGAGGAGGAAGGGGGCTCCTGATCGGCATCTGACACCAACAGTAGGACTAGTGAGCAGCCGATAAACCAGTCACACATGGTACCATTCGGGGAGGTGTTGGTAGTAGCTGGTTGGAAGAAGGGCCTGCATGCTGCTGCAATAGCCCTAGTCCATGGATACTCATCCTTCTCACTATCACGCATGGTACTCATTGCCAATGATAAGTAGGTCATTAGCCCTGTTATTGGTAGTAATACCTACTTATTATTGTTTACCACTAGTGATGAAGCTAAGTACATTACCTGTATCATAGCATTAAGATAGCAGACTCTAGTCTGTGAAGGATTCTTCATACCCATTGGACGATATCTAGGTTGCTTTAATGCAGGATGCTCCTGATAATAATATGGAGGATATAGACTACTAGCATACAGAGCATCATCATTACCTGACATAGTGGTAAGGGTCGAGCACCAGCTGTATCCTCCCATTCCTTCAATGTCTTCACATTTAGATCAGGTGATAATGATTTGTTACCTGAGGTTTCGGGGCATGATCAACAACATTCTAAAGGACTGTAACCCCTCACCAGCAATGATCTGCATTGCCTCCATAAAATGTACAGCTACTGTACCAGCTACCTGATCGCCTTTGGTCACCGCCCCAACTGCTGCCGCTGTTCGCTGTGTATCACTGCTGGTGCCACCATGCTCAGTACTCGAGCCATGCTCTACCACCTCCGATGCAGGAGGTGTTGCTGATTTACCCACAGGTAGTCGTGTACCCCAAGCCGACACCAAGCCAGTTGGCTGATCATAACAATGCCATAACATACTGCTTCACGATGCCATGCTGCTTGGCGGCGGCGACACCTACCTTCCGTGCTGTGGGGGGGTGAAGGGGGTACTTCACCACCCTGTATCGGCGGCGTCCTATGCTGCTGCCCCTGGTTATTGTGCTCAGCATTACTGCTCCTACTGCTACTGGTCGTTGCAGTATTCTTAGAGCTATCATTGGGATGATCATAG